GATAGTTTCGGTTGTAAACGGATCAAGTCGAATATACATTAAATTATTAATTGGTAGAATTAAATTATGTGATACTCCCTTGGAAGGAAACGCGGCATGACTTCCTTATTTACCTCGCCACCTATAAAACCAAAAATTACAATGTCAAGAGTTACAATGTCAAACTGCACACGACTTAACCGCGCCGTTGGATAAGACGGCTCTCTCAGCTCCGGAGGAGGAAAGCTCGTCAGATAACGATTTGATGGAAGGATTCGCGAGGGAATAAGTCGATAAGATCGCCGGGAATAATCAGGCGACGATAAGTTTACTCGCAGCAAAGCTGATATCAAACCCGAGCGGGAGTACTTCCGTACTAAATAATACGGGACCACCTTCCGCGTCTGTACGGGGGGGGGGGGACACCGACTGTATTGGGAAGAGGTCGCGGAAAAAATACTCCGGTGATAAATGACACGATGAGATTTACGCCCATAGAGACGGAGACGAGAAGCATTTTATATAATGAAATGAACGTTAACGCTAGGTTAACGGCGGTCGAGGCTATCGAGCAAGTCTTTCGGGGAGCAAGTCGATAAAATAGTGGCAAATAATGCCCACCTACAAGAGATTATTCAGAGTAACACTCACATGATGAGTTTAATGAAAACCTTTATAGAACAGAATAGTAGCAATGTAATTGCAAATCCGTCGCGACTTAACCCGCGGTTTGAGAGGGAAGATGCAACTAATAATGCAACGTCACGGAAGGGAATACCTATTAACCCTTCGGGTGACGAATGGGTAAGCGATAGCATAAATCGGGGAAGGCCGTCTGGAGTCGAACCCGAAAATTTGGCGAGGGATACTAATAGACAAGCGTTGTCCCCGCATTTATTGAATGGGCAAGGGGGAGCCTTCGCGGTGGTAGGTACAAGGAATCATTACCGGAAGAGACCGCCCGTAGTCGAACCCGAAGAAATTTTAGGAAATAGCCTACGCAAAATCGGAGTAGGGGATCGTTAGAGATCCGATCAGAAAAATTTATCCATGAAAACCACACAGACTTATCAACGCGCGTCGAAGGATCGTTAGAAAGAGAGCTTCGTAAAGTCCAATTCAAGGAGACCGCTTACGCGCTACAAACAAACACACGAACGGACGTTACTTGGACCGATCCCACGATACCACCGCCAGTAACAACAGTAATCTATCGTTTACCAAACGGAAAAACGGTAACGGAAGAAAAGCCCATATCGAGCCACGAATACAACCGACTCATGCAATTAGACTCAGTAAACGAAAATATTATTAGATCACAGGCACGAGATGATTTTCAAACAGAGGTTGAGTCGCGTACACGACCCACTAGCAACCCTCGCGCCTTTACGCGATCTTCACGCTCACGCGACCGACAATCCGAGACAACAACACGAGGTACCTTGTCACGGCGGACGAGTGACTCAAGCGACAGCGACGAACGTTATCGCCCCAGTAGTGCGATTCTGTAACTCGTTATAATTATAACGATAAGTGACGTTACGATAACGATACCGACTTTCGTCGTGTGTAACGACAGACCGATACCGATTGTGCGATTCCGTAACTCAGAATAGCGATACTCTGACGTTACAGAACGTGATAACGAAACGTCGTTATTTAACAAAGAGGAAGTGATATATACATGTCAGATCTCGGGGGAGAACTCGTAGGTTGGTATTTCGTGGACAGCAGCATTCTAGTAACTTGCTAACTGAACGACCGAACGACCAATCCAAAAGTCGCGCCGCGGTCGTCCGACGATCGGATGAGTCACCCGCTTGTTGTGCGTGTGCGTCTCATACAAATAGGTACGGCATGCCGAACGCGTACCTTATCGTAGTAACTCAAGCGCAATGACTTCTGTATTGCAGTAAGTAATAAGCAAAATTTTAATAAAAGAAATAAAATACAGGTATATATAATCTGTACTAACCGACGATAGATCGACTTCTATAGACATGTTGCTTATAACATCATGCAAATACAGGTTATGTACAGGTTATATATGTTTCTATACGCTTACGTCGAGCAAAATTGCTTACTTTCAGTTTGCATTTATTTTTTCCGAAAAAATGAAAGAACAGGGACGAAGAAGAGGCAGGCGAAAGCAACATCAGCACAAATAGACTACATGGTGGACTATTTCGTGCAACATCCACACGTTGCAACAGGCAAGTTTCAAAGCCTACATGGGAATGCCGATTTAAGAGGATCATGGGAGCAATTAGTCGCTCAATTAAATAGTATGGGAAAAGGCGGAAAGACCAAAGACATAAAGTCATGGAAATCAGTGAGTGAATCAATAAAAAAAATACTTAAAATATTATGTATGACATGTAACTGCAGTACTTTAGTAATAAATGTTTTAGACATGGCGAGATAATAAAACTGCAGTTTCCCAAAAGGTAGCAAAGATTCGTGCTAATCAAGTTGCGACAGGGAACGTTGGTGGTCCTCCTAACAAATTGACGGAGCGAGAGAAAAAGATTTTAGGTCTTATGGGTCTTGATTATGTAGAGGGCGTACAATGTCCTGATTCGTTTCCAGATGAACAAGTAATGAAACATTTTTAAATAAAACTGTAACAATTTTACAAATATAGAACGTTTTTATTTTTGTTGAAAATTTGAAAAAATTTGTTTCCGTTTCTGATGTACACGCACCGGCATAAATGCTGTCCTTATCCTTGTGAGGTGCACGCACACAACTAGAGTCCCTGTAGTTGTGTGCGTGCACCTCACAAGGATAGGGACAGCATTTATGCCGGTGCGTGTACATGAAAATAATATTGAGTACATGTTGATAAAACATTATTTGTCTTTTAAATGTTAATTTCAGGCGGAAGCAATGAATTTGCTTGCCGCGGGGGACGAAGGAATTTTAAACATTATTCCTGAACCATTAACATTACGGAACAGCATAAATGACGTAACTACGGAACATGACATAAATTGTATTGGTTAGTACATTTGTCTTAATACACTGCATATGTCACGATGAATTATATGAATGTGTTTATCAGTATTGCTCTGGAAATGAATAAATGCAGCATTGCTTACATGTTTTATTTCAGATTATGAAGTGTTAGATGATATTGGAGATTCTATTAAAGAAGGGTCATTTAATGTTATTCAGACACACTCACAAATAAAAAATGTGGAGACTGCAGAACACCATCGCGAAATAACAAAATCGCCGTCGGGTTCTGAAATTTATGAAGGTACGACATCACAATCGCTCACGACTGTTACGCAGGGTTCGAACAGGAAGCGAAAAGCACCGCAAATTACAAGACGGAGTGAGTATTGTTATAGATAATTACTTTTACTAAATATACTAATAAACGAGAGCTCAGATTATATACGCAATGTTCTCTTTATTTTTAAGACACTGAACGGTTGGGCACACAGCTGCAGAATGCCAGAGAAGATTTTGGGATCCTAGCTGAGCGCCAAATTTCGTGTATGGAGGTAAGATCTATCTGAAATTCTCAGAATGTAATTTCTTTAAAAGAAACGCGTTATTATAATAAACAATGCTTTAAACGTATTTTTTGCTTTTATTTTTACAGATGTTTGCTAAAGCAATGCAACAAATTGCGGACAATGAAAAGGAGCGGAACGAATGTCTGCGTGCTTTTGTAGAAGCGGAAAAAAGTAAACAGAAAACATATTCCGAATTAATGATATTAATCAAAGATTGTGTTAGTGTTATAAAAAATAACAATCTCTGATGTTAATAATCCATATTTTATTCAGTATTTTATTCAGTGTTTTTTTTCAGTTTGTTTTTTATTTTATTAAATTTTTAGTTTAAAGACAATAAGGTTTTCAGTTTAAGAACAACAAAGTTTTTTTTTACTGTTTGCTGACTACCAAAAGATATTTATTTAAAATAAAACTGATATTTGTATACATCATTTTTTTAATTAAAATTACCCCTTACGCACACATCCGACATACACAAATATATTTACATAGATATTTATAATTGAATTCAGGCAATTAAATATTTACAAAAATTAAATTTATTTTAAAAAATTATTACAATTAAACATTTATATAGTCACAAAAATTTGTATGGCTGCAAAAACCATTCGAAATAAATATTCTCATTTAAAGCATCAAACAATAGAAGATAACTGAAAAACACGTTTAATCATCTTCAGCACGCTCTTCACCTTGTGCATCGCGATAATTGGGAAATCTTTCTCTCATAATTTGGCATTGAATTCTTTGAGCCAAAGCGCGTGGCCCTCTTCGAGCTAGATCTTCGTTGACATCAATGAGTCCAACATTTTCATGTTGATTATCAACAACTATTGGTGCTTGGAATTCTTCAAATTGCAAACGGTGTTGAATTCTTATATTATGCAGTACTGCACATGCATTTACTATTTTTGCAGCAAATGCTGGCTTATACATCAGCACACGCTGATAGGAAAGACATCTCCATACAGATTTGAAGACACCAAAGAAACGTTCAACAACATTTCTTGCCTTGCAAAGCTGCTGCGTGTATTGGAATTGTCGTGTGTCTTCAGGAAAATCGGCCAAGGGTGTCATGAGCCACGGTTCCAAAGGGTATCCAGCATCGCCTGATGAAAAATATTAATAATGTTACGAATACACTGAACATTTGAGAAAATAAATAAAAGCGTCAGACAATTTAAAATCCTAATTATTTATAAGCAATTTAAAATCTTTATGTTGCAAAGTCTTTCAAAGTCCTCATTTTCATTAAATGAGACTCACCGATCAGCCAAGTTTTCCGTTCTCCTCGATTGTAATGAAATTCCATTGCTCTACGAATTGGCGATGTGCTCCAGATGTACGAGTCGTTTCGTGCACCTGGATATCTCGGATTGATGTTGAGCAACTTCATATCTGGGTCAACAATCTGAAAGCATAAGTAGATAATGCTACATTCAGACAAAAGTTTTGCAGCAAAGCCACATTATATACTTGCTAAGCGTTTGAACTTACTGCTTGCACGTTCAAAGAATGACGCCCATGATGATTAATGAATGCCTCTTCATGTTCGTGAGGGGCTAAAATATGAATAAAAGTACAGTCTATAGCACCGATAGCTCCTTCGAATGGGTACGCAGCAGTGGAGAATTTTTCACGCGCTTGCTGTCGATCTTCTTCGGTCATCGGAAATTTTACCCATCTACGTAGCAAGCGCCGATTGATCGCTTCAGTCACGGCATGGAGGCAACGGCTTATTGTTGGCTGGCTAACATTAAAATGAAATTGATTGCCGACGCTTCTTTGATAGCTGCCTTGGGCGTAAAACTGTATGGCTATCAACACCTGTAATAAACGTTTCAAGATTACATTTCGCTATTATAAATTTAATATAAACTATTGTAATAATTTTGTTCCAATGTTACCTTGATTTCTGGCACTAAGCCGGTAAGTCGTTCATTCTGTAAATCGGCCCTTAATGCAGTTGTAATGTCGATTACAAGTTCTGGAGTAAGGCGAAAACAGTCAATGAATTCATCTCGTGGAAGATGAAAAGGGTTCTGAGCATCTCTCAGCCGCCTTCTTTCCACACGCCGTTCTCTTCGACGCACCCTTTCAACCACAAATGCCAGTTCCCATGCCAAATACTCAAGGGCCATGTTCTCTACAAATAAAACAATTTTTAATATACGTACGCCTAAATGCCAAATATGTCGATTGTACAGAAATATAAATTCTTACGAGTCTATAGAAATAAAAATTCCATTAAAATATCGAAAGGTAAAGCAATTTTATATCAACAATACAACGTTCAATACGTTATAAAAGAATTGAGATGTGAATACACATAATTTTCTTGGAACTAATTATTATAAACAAGGTAAAACTTTTACTCACCGACTTCCTTGAATGTTTTTCTTTTAATATACGTTTACGATGTACACGTGGAGACCTTTTCAAAACTCTGAACACACTTTAACCACTTCGACGCTTCCAAACGCTTCTAAACACTTCTAACCTCTAACCTACTATCATTACGTAGTCGTTACGCGTTACCGAGGGGTATCGAACCATGCGTTACGATAGCGACACATAACGACATCTTACCGACGTTTTTCGTTACGAATAGCGACAACAGTCGTTACCACTCGCGTACAGAATCGCATTTGTCGTTATAGCGTTATAGCGTTATATAACGAACCGACAATTGTCGTTATGAGCACATAACGACGGCATAACGAGTTACAGAATCGCACTACAGAATCGCATTTGTCGTTATAGCGTTATAGCGTTATATAACGAACCGACAATTGTCGTTATGAGCACTTAACGACGGCATAACGAGTTACAGAATCGCACTACAGCCGCGGCTATTACGATACCGGAAACTACCGTACAGCTTCACACTCTCCCGCGCCGTCTTATTCCAGTAACTGGGAACACAACCCGGGAATAAAAATAGGTAGGATTATAAGTAATTGGAAAATTAACTTCTCTAAAACGGAAAAAGATCCTGACCAGTTCTTATTTATTTTGAAAGATCTACTAAGCACTAGTGGAATAAATAAAGACCTATTCGTTCCATGCCTATCTAATATTTTCGAGGGCGCTTACCGACAATGGTACCTAATTAATAAGCGGAATTGGCGATCGTGGAAAGAATTCTCTAGGGCTTTTCGCTATCAATGGGGCGTGGAAAAGGCCGACGGTGACTTGTTTGTCGACATAAGAGATTTAAAAGTTGAGAAGGGAGAAAGTTTGGCTGAATTTACTTGTCGGGCCCGTTTCATCTTCGAACGAATGTTACACCCTCCAACATTCAAGGAACAACTAAAACAGATTCTAATTAAATTTAACCCGAGAATAACATTTGAAATCCTGAATCTCCCACTAAAAAATTACGACGAATTCTTGCATTACGTAAACGAAAGAAGTTACTTATACCGCCGTTCAGTAGAAAGTCAAAAAGAATCGCGCTCTAGGAGAAATAAAGTCGATTTAAACCATATGCAAGACAATTGGTTAGGAGAAGAGGATGAAACGGAACCACAAAACAGCGACGACGATAGCGGAGACGAACAAACCATTAGCCTAAACGCTCTCCAACTAAAAGATTCACGCGCTAATAAAATTAAATCACAGACAAAAGGCGACTCGAAACCTCTAACGCGACAGAGACTGGAACAAAATCTGGCGCGGTACGAGAAAACCAATAAAATAGAAACTTCTTCGTCGGTGCAACAGGACAGCCCTAAGAAAACGCAAACAAGTCTATCACGTGACTTAAGTAAAGTTATTTGCTATAACTGCGGCGAATGGGGGCATGCGTCGCGCAGCTGTACTGCTAAGAGACAGGAAGTTTGCCATATTTGTCGTAAGAAGGGACATGTGAATCCCGAATGCCCCACCCTGTCGGGAAATGCGAACAGCCCACAGTAGCCGCGCCTCCGGTTATTGTATCAAAGGGCGTAAATGAGGTGAAAAACTGTCGTGATGTACTGACGAACGAAAAAAAAACTGAAACGGGACTAACAATATATCAAACAAAAGTCTTGGATAAAATGGCGGCCAAACCAACGGTCGATTCCTTACTTCACGTTAGGGACAATCAACTAGCAAGTGATAACGAGGAAACTTTCTTGTTAGATGTCGACGACGAAACGGAGGAGGAAGTAGAATTGTCGGATGGTGAGATCGAGGCGATAGAGTCAATTCATCTAAATGAAAACCGTAAAGAAATTAAACTATCAATATTTTTAAGTGAAAGTTTAGATGAATGCACTAGAGAAAGTTCCGGGGAAGACGCGACGAACGAATCGCTGAAAGATTGGAAGCCAAAAGGCATACCACCCCATGTAGTCCATCAATTAACGCGAATTTTTCGCGACGGTATCGGTGCAAGGGAGCCGGCCGAAGTCGTGAAAATCCCGGTAGAAATTTCTATATTCGGCGAGACCATAAAAGGAATTATAGATAGCGGTAGCGAAAGATCGTACTTGAGTAAAAGCGCGTTCGAACGTGTCAAATCCCTCCAGGTAAATGATATCGCCCCGGATTCAACGTCAACAGCAGGGGTGTGCTTAGGTGATAATTCGCTCGTCAAAACCGAGGGAGGAACGTGTTTCATAATAGACATAGGCGACGTTTATGGACCACAATGGTTCAGCATCCTTCCGGGACTATCAGGCGATCTGATCCTCGGCATGGATTTCTGGCTATCATTCAAAGCTATATTAGACCCACATAAAAAGACATGGACGTTTTCAGGCAGCAAGTATTCTTACCCCCTATCGTATCGCTTCGTCTTCCCAACGGAACTAAAAACTCTCTCGGTCGATTAGACACAGAAATTAAAGAACTTCCTAGACAACGAATTCGCTAAATTCGAAGTTGAATCTTCAGGCGTTACGAATTTAATAGAACATGTAATAGAACTAGACGACCCCACGCCTCACCGACAGAAACCTTATAGACGTAGTGAGGCGATTCGTAGGTTTATTTAGTGAAGAAGTCGATCGTTTATTAAACAAAGGCTATTTATCTTGGAGTAATAGCAATTGGGCCAGTTCGCCGGTGGTAGCCCCGAAGGCTAACGGCGGGCTCAGATTTTGTATCGACTACCGAGTACTGAACCGAAAGACAAAGAAACCAGCCTACCCTCTTCCACAAATGGGTTCGATCCTATCCCAGTTGCATCACGCCAAGATAATTTCGACCCTGGATATGAGCGAAGTATTCCATCAAATTCCCATGGCTAAGGAAAGTCGGAAATTCACGGCATTCGTTGTAGAGGGTAAAGGCCTTTTAGAATGGCTTAGAATGCCCTCCGGCTTAACAGGCGCGCCATCGACATTCCAACGTCTGATGGACTCACTGAAAAGACGAATTAATGACATTATAATACAACGTAAGTTGCCGAATCAATGGGTCGATCAGGTGTTCGCGTATCTCGATGATTGGATCGTCGTAAGTCAGGATCTCGATGAGCACCTATCTTTACTCGCTATATTGTTTGAGGTGTTGAGAGAAGCCAGTCTAGCTATTAATCGCGAGAAAAGTAGCTTTGCGTGTAAAGAAGTCAAATTTCTGGGATATATTATTGACGGGTCCGGAATGCGGCCTAATTCCGAGAAAATACAGCCGATCCTCGATTACCCGATACCTAAAGACCGCACTCAACTGCGCCAATTCAACGGTTTAGGTAACTGGTACCACAGACATCTCAGAAATATCGCCCGAGTACAAGGACCGTTAAATAAACTAACAAGCCCTAAAGTTCCATGGCGCTGGACCGAAATCGAACAAAATGCCTTCGACGAAACAAAACGTGCGTTGACCACCGCCCCTAAATTATACATCCCCATACCAGGACAATCATTTATTTTATATACCGACGCCAGCGACTTCGGACTGGGAGCTATACTAGTCCAAAAAGATCCTGATTCCGATAAGGAATTATTAATTGATGTGCTGAGTCGACCATTGAGGGGGGCGGAACTCCACTATACGACGACAGAAAAGGAGTGCTTAGCTGTCGTATGGGCTGTCGAAAAACTCCGTTGTTACCTTGAGGGTATGCCCTTTAAAGTTGTCACAGACCATCAGGCCCTGCTGTGGCTCTACGGCCTGAGAAATCCATTGGGACGACTTGCTCGATGGGCAATCTATTTGCTCCAACATAACATAACAATAGAACATAAACGCGGTACAACCAACGAGGACCCGACGCGCTTTCTCGTATGTTCGATGTGGACGTGGATTCAATCGGATGGGAAACGATCGTCGAGGAGGCTATTCAAAACCAACTCAGTTGAACTCCATATGTGGTGGAGATTGGTACGAGGCGAAGCATAATCTCGTTAAGGAACAACCGGATAGATTCCCGGAATGGAAAATAGAAAATGACGAACTTATGTACTATCGACCCGACTATGCCAAATCGATCATCGACGACGAAAACCCGTGGAAGAAGGTGATAAGGCCCAGTGAAACTCTGGCAATAATTCGAGAGAATCACGAGCCGCCGCAAGTAGGACATTTAGGTCGCGATAAGACACTAGACCGCATCAGACAGAATTATTACTGGCCAGGAATGTCACGGGATGTTAGATCCTATCTGAAAGACTGTGAAACATGCATTAAGGTAAAGAATAATCAAAACCCATTGAAAGGCGCTTTAGTAACCCGACCGTTGCAGTCTCCGTGGGACCAACTGGCAATAGACACAGCCGATATGTCGGTACGATCAAAAAAGGGGAACGCACATATTATAGTCGTTCAAGATCTCTACCCCAAGTACATCGAGCTGGCGGCCGTCTGGAATAAGAAGGGCGAAACCATCGCCAAAATATTAGATGCCATTTTTGACCGGTGGGAAACGCCTAGGTCGGTGATATCAGACAACGGCTTAGAGTTCCTGAACAAAGACGTGAACAATCTGCTAGTCGCGAGAGGCGTAAAACACCTCACCACTCCGTTAGCCCACCCGCAAGCTAATCCCGTCGAACGCGTAAATAGAACCATAAAACCTATGATCACAGCATTTCTGGGAGATAAACAAAACGAGTGGGACAAACATCTATCCAAATTTCAGCTAGCGTAAAATACGGTCCCTCACGCAGGAAGTCGAATTTCTCCTTTCTACCTAAATCACGGTCGCGAAGCAAAGACTAGGCACGTAGGAGACAAAGCAAACGACCTAGCGCAGCCCCTTACGGGAGATACAATAGACGAATGGGTCAACCGGATAAATAACATAGACGAATTAAGACATGTTATCGAAATAAAATTAAAGAACTATTCGGAAAAACAACTTGCCAAACTTAACACCGACCGGGTTAAACAGATACCTTTAAAGGTAGGGATGGAGGTGTATTATCCTAATAAAAAACTGAGCAACAAAGCTAAGGGCTACAATGCCAAGCTGGCTCACCGCTACGTCGGGCTGGTCATAATTAAACGCGTTTTAGGCCCAATAACTGTCGAAGTAGCAGACAAAAATAACAAGATCATAGGAAAGTATTACGCTGCCGACCTCAAAATACCACGACGTAGTCTACGAAAAAAAAAGTTTCGAGATCCGATACTATCAAATAAAACATATAGATAACATTGTTGTTCTTGTCCCATGTGTCGTCAAAAATCTTTTTTTTGCCAATAAGGCAATCCTTTTTCTCTTAAATATGTGTTAATTAACTGTTTTGTTCACCTTCCTTGTGGTGCTCACAAACCCGATTGGGGGTGTGCTATCATAGCTCAGGTGTGTTTCTTACCGTCACACGGGCTGTCTTAGCTCACCCTGGAGTTTTGGAGAGCGGATGCAACCCGTAAAGAGCCCACGATTGTGATGTGCTCGGAGGGGCGCCTTGGGCAGAAAC